TGACATTGTTTTTAATATAAGTTGTTTCTCAGACATAAAGAAAATGTAGGGTAAAAGTTAATAATTAATCGTCACAGCATTAATCTCAGCATCCTTTGGATAGCTAACTGATAACAAGACAAAAACACTGCAGCAAACAACATCCTTGACCTTGAGCTTCTCCTATTTGCCAGCAGGGGGTGTTAAGTTATCCAAATGAGGACCACAGTTTCTGACACACTGCATTTGGGGAAAATGAATCTTCTATCATGCAAATTAAAGGTGGGGTAGGCAATTTTGGAGAAACCAGCTCGAGTGCGCTAGAATTTGAAAATACACAGCCGGAAAAAATCTGTCACTTCCTTACAGAGCCCCTCCTCCAACACACACAAACGCGCACATGACCAATGAGGGCACGAGATAAGTGCAACCCGGTATCACGGCAAGACGTGAACATGTGACGATTTACCATGCTGGGAGACGTGAAGATGTCACGATTTCGTCCCTTCAAACGTGACAGTTACACGGTATTGTTAACATGGCCCAACCAGTAGAGAAATACCCGGAAATGCCAAGCAAATGCTCTACCTGCCTGTCAGCCTCAAGCCCCCAGGAAGTGCGCCGGACTCTGATGAGAATATTCGTTGTGGCCAAACGGCGGTACTATACTTCCGTTAGGTTGCTGGGCCCGGAAACACTTTTTCCCATTGACTTACATTGGGAAAGAGATATCTGTAAATCGTTGGATAATTTTTTTGAAACTAAATAAACAGCCCAGTATGAACGTTTATATAGCCCTTATTAAAAACATTCGGTCCTCAAGTTGTAAAATGTGCTAATAACGTTATTCGCTATAGAGTTATTTCCCTCTGCATTATGAACGTGCATCTAACCCACGGGACCGCGCCGCCCGGCACATTCATGTTATGTTACGTGTTCAGTACTACATGCGTTTTACCTTTACCCATGGATGCACAATAAGAACGGACCCATATCGCCTTACCGTTCGGGTGTTCAGAGCAGAGCTCCCTGTTGGAGCGGCAGAGCGTGATGTGAACAGAAAAATGTTTCTGTCGCAATACTATTTAAGGAATCGTTGAGCTAGCTAACTAGCATACATTGTCACTATCTGCTAACGTTAGCTTTAAGGCCCTGACACACCAGGCAGTCACCAGAGAACTCGCCGACGTCCAACACCGACAGATCCATCGACGAGTTCTCCTGCGTCTAGGCCGTGTGTCGCACTGAAATACACCGCTTTACTTCAGCCGAGCACGTACGAACTGCGCATGCATGAGTGGCAATAAGTGCCCTTACCAGCAGGCGGTGGTAGTGTGTATTCGTCATTCAAAATAGGCAACAACCGGAAGAAAGAGAAGAAGAACAGACTGTGATATAAACAAACAGCAAATAGCGGGTGTGTTCCATTTTCAGTCTTGTCCATTGAAAACATGTATCGTGCGGCACTGGGGATATCAGCCATTGGAGTGTTGCTTGTGCAACACATTATCAAGAAACAGTATCTCAAGAGGCAGAAGCGACGAATTACGAGAAACCGCACTAAATGGGTGAAATCGTGGATACTGCAGCGAGAGGCTCATGGGGCTTTCCCGAACCTGTGTCGAGAGCTGGAGTTACATGAAAAGCCAGATTTCCGAAATTTTGCTCGGCTTTTTCCTGTTCAGTTCCACATGTTGGAGGAACTCCTCACTCCAATCATCCAGAGGGAAAACACGAACTACCGGGATTGCATCTCCGTGGGGACACGTTTGATGGTTACGCTGCGATTTTTGGCAACAGGTATGCAAGCTAAAGATGTTGCTATATTTGAAATTGCAGCCAGCACTTTGTATATTATTGTATATTGTGCTTTAGTAGTAATACCGCAGTGTAATGTAGATGTATTAGTGTAAGTACAAAACCAAAGTACCAAAGTACTGCTTGGTTGCTTGAGAAATTACCAAGGGATCAATAAAGCGTTATCTTCTTCCTATAATAATGCATGTTAAAATATTTCATTATTATATGTTGTATCATTTGTCTGAATCTTCATAGTACTTAAAGTAATCAACTATCTTGTAAACTATAACCTGTAGTTTTGTAGCTAATGAGTGTTTTGTTCAGCTGCTTGTGTAGATAACTCAGTTATGTGTTTGTTAATATTTGCAGGGGAAAGCTTCAGGAGCCTTTCCTACCAGTTCCGAGTGGGAGTGTCAACCATCCGGCAATTCGTTCCAGAGACCTGTACAGCCATCTACGAGGTTTTAAAAGAGAAATACCTGAAGGTATGTGTGGATACTTACTAGTTTTACTGTGCAAACGGTATGTAATACAGTGAGGTCTGTAGGCATTTGAACAGCAAATGTTTGGTTTGCCATATGAAACATGGCTCTTAAAAAATATATGTTTTGTTTTTCAGTGCCCAGACACAGTGGAAGAGTGGCAGCAAGTAGCTGATGGATTCCAGGCTCAGTGGAACTTCCCAAACTGCCTAGGTGCCCTGGATGGGAAACACATCAACATCCGCCCCCCTCCAAGAACTGGATCAACCTACTACAACTACAAACATACATTTTCCATTGTGCTAATGGCACTGGTCGACAGCAACTATAAGTTCTTGTATGTCGATGTAGGTTGTAATGGGAGGATTTCAGATGGTGGTGTGTTTGGTGGATGCTCACTGCAGGATGCCTTGGAGAATAGGACATGCAACATCCCTGCACCTGCACCACTTCCTGCTTCTGACGAGGCGGTTTGTTACCACATTGTGGCAGATGAGGCATTTCCCCTGAAAGAGTACCTCATGAAGCCCTATCCGAACCGCAGGCTAGCTGTAAAGGAACGCATCTTCAACTACAGGCTGTCGCGGGCTCGGAGGGTGGTAGAAAATGCCTTTGGCATCCTAGCCAACCGTTTTCGGGTCTTCCTAACCACCATAAACATTCAAGACACTGCCAAAGTGGAGGCCATTGTTTTGGCTGGCTGTGCTCTGCACAACTTCCTGCGCACAGAGAGCTGTAGCGCATACATGGCGGGAGTTGTTGACCAGGAAGGACCCGATCGTGAAACTGTCCCAGGAAGCTGGAGACAAGACCCTGACCTACGGCAAGCCACCCTGCCACCCACCACCAATAACTCAGCTCGAGCCAAGCAGCACAGGGATGAACTGTGCCAATATTTTAACGGTATTGGTGCAGTGCCTTTTCAGTGGGATAAGATATAGTACCATCTTTTTCTCTCCTGGTGGTTTGGCTCATAAAGGGGTTGTGTTGTGATATTATCCTCCAGCTTTGTGAAAGTCTATTCTTTGAAAGCAGATTTGGGTTCTCTGTTGATAATAGCTCATTCTGATGTTGTGTTATGTGTGTCTGAAGGTACAAAATAAATGTTTGCATTGCCTATCCTGCTATTTGTGTTTATTCTTTTAATCACACAGCGATAAGAAACAATAACTATGTGCCTACATAACTGTCAGTTGCAGCCCTAGCATTAGTATTGGTTATAGTAACAGCTACAACATTAAAATACTTCTAGGCAGATTGAGGAGGAGAATGGGAGAATGAACAGAGGGGCAGAGACATCCATCTGAATAATAATAATAACTTTATTTGTATATCACCTTTCATACAGGGGATTGCAGTTCAAAGTGCTTCACATCAGTAAAAAATAAGACATAAAATCTGTGTAAAACAAGCAGCAAAGCATAAAGTGGGATAAAATAATGCAGATATATTATATCAATATATCGATATTGTAATCCCAACAGCCCACCTTGTTTATGGTTTGATTCAGTTTAGTAGAATATAAAATACATGAATGATGAAAATGAGCACATAAAGTGCAGACACACTATACTATTCACCTGCATAGTCTTATGAATTATGGCTTCTATATTTTGCTATTATGTATTTTAAAGCAGAAATACACATCTGTGCCGTGTTTTCTTTTAAAACCAAACTGGTTGTCAGCTGTGGTAATATACCTTTCCAGCCTATCCAACATGGTCAATACAAAAGGAATGTGATCTGTAGTGGCCAACTCATATCAAAAGTCAATGTTGTCAAGAGAAGCGTGTGCATCAGCTGTGCATATACAGTGATCAAGCCATTATACAGTATGCCATGCTTCACTAATATATGTAAAGCTTTTATCAGGTATTAGAGATTTACATGAGAGTATGAGAATATTATCGTCAAAAAAAATACAGTAAACATTTGCCCAACCGAGAGTTATCATCCGAAATGTCAGCATTGAAGTTCAAATGAACTGCGGTAGACAGTATGTCATGTACTTAGATACTGTACTTAAGGACAATCTTGAAGTACTTGAGTCTTAATCCTGCAACTTCATACTTATGCTCCACAACAGTTCGATGATGAAGAAACCATCATGTCTGAAAGGCTACATGTGAATAGAGGGGCAGAAAACCGTCTTGGACATTTACATTTCAATCTTGAAGTACTTGAGTCTTAATCCTGCAACTTCATACTTATGCTCCACAACAGTTCGATGATGAAGAAACCATCATGTCTGAAAGGCTACATGTGAATAGAGGGGCAGAAAACCGTCTTGGACATTTACATTTCAATCTTGAAGTACTTGAGTCTTAATCCTGCAACTTCATACTTATGCTCCACAACAGTTCGATGATGAAGAAACCATCACGTCTGAAAGGCTACATGTGAATAGAGGGGCAGAAAACCGTCTTGGACATTTACATTTCAATCTTGAACAAAGAACAGCGGTAGACAGTATGTGATGTACTTAGACACTGTACTTAAGGACAATGTTGAAGTACTTGAGACTAATCCTGCAACTTTAAGGCCCTGCTCCACTCCCATTCAGTGTACTTTATACTGCGCTACATTTATTTGATAACTTCACTTAACTTTGAAGATTCTGAACACTACAAAATGTAATCAAGACATATTTTATCATGTATTATTATAGGTTAAGATAAAATGTTATTGATCCCATGGTGAATTTCCTAAGCTACCCAGCAGTATATGATGTAATTTAAATCAGCTCCTCCACTTCAGCTCTCTGAAGCAGAAATAAATCATTCTATGTTGTGTTATGTAATGGCTGTAGTATGAAGGTACGAAATAAAGTTTTGCAGTTTAGGTAGAAAGTGGTTTATTATCCAACAATATAATACAAAAAGTAAACTATCTACAAAAATACAATACAATAAAAATGCTATGCAATACAGAAAAAAAAATGTTATTGCCACAACTGTCTGTAAAAAGAATTAGACATTTTAAAATGAACTTTAAAAAAACAAAACATGTTTAGACAACACAGTTAAATGTCTAGAGATTTCTGTATGTAGTCGAGGTTTGAGTTCCCTCTAATACCCCTTTCACACCGGCGCTTTTCCAGCTCCTGCTGGGAGCTAGAGCCTGAAAAGCGCCGGTTTTTCCTGTTCACACCGCAGCGGCGGCGCGTCATAGCTCCGGAATGCGGTTCACTTCCAGCTCCAAAAAATTGTCGGTCCAGAGACAAGAGCTTCGGAGCTATGACGCGGCGTCGCTTACGTCTCTTAAGTCGAGGCGTGCAGGAAACCTTACTTTGACCATCCGTTCGCTGTTATTGATCATTGTGGAGATACATGGGCTATACAGGTTGTCATGTCCGACTATCAGAAGTAGAATCATAATGAAAAATACGCCGGTAAAATGTGCCTATAGAAAACGGCTTAGCAAGTAGTCAGTTTAGCTTCGGTTGCTATGCTAACATCACCCATGTTATACCAGAGAAACTTTCATAACAGCGTTGTGATGCCAAACAGCGTCAATTCAGACTGACACACATTCACTTAAGGGGAACTGGGGATATGTATCAGCTGCTTGTGTGACAGTCAGACAGTGAATACTTTAGAGCCGTGTGAGCTAACCCGGAGCTAGCGGGAGAATAAACTCCCGTGGAAGTGCAGCCATCACTGCAGCGGTCGGTAAATGCCGCTGAAACACATTAATAAACAATGAACCACGGCACTCTGGAGAAAAGTATAAGGTTGGAGAAGTCGTTATTTAATTTAATCTGGCTTCGTATGATTAAAAGCAACACGATCATCGACCCGATGCAGTCCCCGGCCCGTTGTTGTTGTGGGAGAAAATCAGCGACGTAAACTGTGACGTCATGACGCAGCAGCGGCAGCTCTGGGCAGTGTGAACAGAGCGGGAGCTGAAAAGGGAAACGGGAGCTGAACCAGAAAAGCTCTCGCGAAGAGCTAGAAAGTGAAAAGCGCCGGTGTGAAAGCCGCATAAGTGCCGGAAGAAGGCATTGTCCACGGTATTCAGGAATGGTTGAATCTCAGGAGGTGCCAACATCCGCAGTCTGTGCTCAAACACTTGGGCATGGGCCGTGAATACGTCATTCACTCTACTCGGGGCCAACTGTGCCAGAGTGTTGGTGATCCCATGCAGCAATGTTTGTGATTGGTCGGCGATGGACTCATCCCGCGAATCCTGCAGCATCCTGCGCTTCGCCGGAGTCATTCTATTGCTGGGTGTGCTTGGCCTATCTCCGAGCGGTGACGGTGAGGGTGCCGGCGCCGGTGTGTTGCAGATGGTGGATTCTGCCAGGGGAGTGCAGGGCTCAGCATCAGTGTGGAAGGACTCCTCAGTGGTGCTGGACATGCTGGTTTCACTGCTGGTGCCACCGAGGGGTGATTCTGCAGCCCCCGGATGTTCCTTAAAAAATGTTAAATAAATTCACAGTTAGTTGGATTTAATACCATGGATTCTTAAAACTGTTTACTAAGCATTCATAACAAAACAATACCCTGAAATGTGTGTGCCATTAGTTCGGGGTGTGGTCAAGTGTGAGAGGCACATTGTAGAAACATTGTGATGGCTCTATTCAGATGCTAAAACGTACTTCTAGAAGATTCAGAACACGACAAAATATAATCAAGACATATTTTATCATGTATTATTATTATTATTATTATAGGTTAAGATAAAAGCATTATTGATCCCATGGTGAATTTCATAAGCTACCCAGCAGTATATAATGTAATTTAAATTAGCTCCTCCTTTACCAGCTGCAACATTAAGGTGATGATCACATCAATAATTATAATACAATAATATATATATATTATTCTGTTATTGTTATATTTACCACTGTAACCACCACATGAATGCAAATAATGTTTTTGTAATTGAAAGAAGCAAGAAACACGTATTTGTACTCAACAAATAAAATAGTTACCGTGAAGGTGAGGTTGGAAGTACTCTCCTTCCTTTTTGTGAAAGGCTCCAGAAACCGCAGCCTGTTCAGGAACCACTGTTGTCGGCCGGTCATTGGTGTAGCACAACTACCCGAAGCGGCAAGTCTCCGGTACCGGGTGTACTGGGTTCGCATAGAATCCCATTTCTTCCGCAGCTCTTTCTCTGAAGCACACAAATAAAGGATGTAAGCATGGTGGCTCAAATCATATCTATATGCAGTGCCAAACAAGTAGCAACAGCTACCAACAAGATAACAACAAAACACAAGGTTGAAATAACAAATTACATTTCACGTACGCTGGCAAAGAATAAAAAACCAACAGTTTCTGCTCAAGAGCTCAATTGATGAAAAAAGATAATCTTACCTGAGAAACCAAGTTGCGATTCTATCTCTCGCCAGAGTCCCGTTTTAACGATTCGATTTGAGTATTTAGCCTCTGTAATATCATACAGAGCTGGCCTCTCCTGGATCAAAGTGATGAACAGGTCTTCGATTGCTTCATTCCAGATCGCCATGATGATCAATACACCGATGAGATGAAAATGAATAGCCATCTGTGTGTGTGTGCCTTCTTCAATCATTTGTTTACGTCCCTCACTTCCGTTTCGCTTCTCATTCGCTAGCTGAACAGCCAATCAGAGTGCTTTCTTGGCCCGATAGCTTGTGGTCGACAGCCGGCCGATTCAACATGTTGAATCGGCCGGGTGTCGACCGTGAAAGGCCAAATAAGGCGTGTCACGGCCGAGGGTTCGGGACACACCAAATTGACAAGGAACCCGTTTTCGCCCAACAAGGCAATACGGCCGATATCGGCCTGGTGTGTAGGGGCCTTTAGCCTTCGTTTTCTAATAGTTTTTTTCATAGGCTATAAACGGAGGTGGTATAAGTATAGATCTTGTACTTGATTAAAAGTAGAAGTACTCAGATCTGGTACTTTAGTAAAAGTAGAAGTACTCAGATATTGTACTTGAGTAAAAGTAGAAGTACTCAGATCTTGTACTAGAGTAAAAGTAGAAGTACCAGAGTGTAGGAATACTCTGTTACAGTAAAATTCCTGCATTCAAAATGTTCCTCAAGTAAAAGTAGAAAAGTATTCTCATCAAAATGTACTTATAGTAGCGACAGTGAAAGTAGTCATTGTGCAGATAGGTCCATTTCAGAATAATATATATGATATGTTTTATAATGATTTATCATTAAAGTGTTCTCAAAGCTGGTAAAGGTGCAGCTAGTTTGAATTACTTTGTATACTGCAGGGTAGCTTGTGAATTTACTCCAGGTGGAACTAAAGTCTGATTTAAGACTTGATTATATTTCACATCATTATTCAAATCTGTAAAGTAACTAAAGGTATTAAATACATGTAGTGGAGGAAAAGTACACCAGTTACCTCTGAACTGTAGTGGAGTAGAAGAACAAAGTAGCAAAACATTGAAATACTTAAATAAAGTACAAGTATCTCAAAATTGTACCCAAGTAGATACTTGTTGAGTTTATGAACTTAGTTACTTTACACCAGTGGCTATAAAGATAGAAAGACTAAGCCTTGAACAGAGGCATGAAAATACATTTTCAAAATGCTCAACAGTCCTGCCAAAATTATAAACTGACTGCTACACAATTAAAATAAATGCTTTTATATATTTCTATTAGATGTGAGTCTTTGGCGTTTCTGTTATTATTAACACTGCTGCTTTGGTTGTTCTGACTGCTAAAATCCTCTGTTATTCCTAATTTTAAAGCCGATATTCCGTGGGGTCAGGGGACTCGGATCCTTGTCACCTTTTTCATACCTGATTAGTTTGCATCCCTGATATATATATATATATATATATATATATATAGCCTGTATTGTATATTTATACACACAAATGAACAACCTTTGTTGTCAAAAAACAAATAACAAGTTGTATTGTAGTGTTTATTTTAGTGTTGTTTTATGCTTATCCACATTTTGATTTCAGAGCACAGGACAGGAGTTATATATATAGAGTTATAATATTTATTCAGCTGAAAAAGTCAAAGCTCTACGAAAATGTAATTAAAAATATATTGCACATGGTTGGTATTTAACAACAAGGGGTGTTATAGTCTGTGTTGTAGTGTGTGATATTAGTATTTATGGCAACATTTTACACCTTTCCTTCAAGTACTATACGCTTTAGTTACTTGTGGGGTACTTAACATGAATAATCACAGTTACTATCCTTTTACTCCATCACATTTCAAAGAGAAATAGGCTATTGTTATTTTAACTCCACCACAGTAATCCATCATCAGCTTTAGATAAAGATTTAAAACACAATTGATCATAACTCAAAATACATATATTTTTGTATATTACCAAGTGGTTTCATGTACAACCCACCAAAGTATCATGCTAAATGAAGCTCTGTTGCTTGGATATCACTAGATCCTGTTATCAGCGTAATATAAAAGTACATAACGATTTATGGTCACATTAGCATAATTACTTGCTAGCCTCTAGCTGCTAACTGCTGCGGCCGCCTCGTTAATATCAAATCCATCATAACAATCCAGTACCATGCTGTCATGAACGCGCGGTGCTGTTACATGTACACGTGTGACGTGCTTGATGTGAACGAGCCTTTTTCGGGGGCGTGGTTAAAGTTGCGCATGCTCTATGAGCGCATATACGGGTACTTCTCAGGCATGACGGGTAATCTGTGACGTTTCGCTCTTTTAAAAGTTGGGCCATTTTATCTTCATGCGCCAATGAGCAACTCTCATAGGAATGAATGAGGCCCCGCCTCCCACGCTGTATCCAGTTCTTATAGAGAGGCGAAGTCCCTCCCCTTCCGGTTGAGCTCCATGGGACCTTATTTCGGAAAAGTTATGCATTGAAGTCAATGGAGAGAGAAAGATTATCTTTCGATCCCGTTTGAATTGTGCCACGAATTACACATATGATGTTTGTCAATTTAAAAGATAATTTTACAAGGCAAGGCAAGGCAAGGCAAGTTTATTTATATAGCACTTTTCTGTACGTGACAATTCATAGTGCTTTACAAAACAAATTAAAAGACTTTGTATGAATAAATACAGTAAAAACACATGATATAATGGCATTTTACAACAGGCATTACAAAGCAAAGATAATAAAATAATAAAAATAAACACCACAGGTATACAATACATGTTTAAAAGGCATACTGTAGTTCGAATATGAGCAGCTCAATTAAAAGCAGCGGTAAAGAGATATGTTTTTAGTCTTGATTTAAAAATGGTAAGCGTTTCTGCGGACGTGCATGATTTGGGCAGTTTGTTCCAGAGTGTCGGGGCATAATAGCTAAAAGCTGCTTCTCCATGTTTTGTTGTTACTCTCGGAACCGATAGCAGACCCGTCCCAGAAGACCTGAGGCACCTTGATGGCTCGTAATTGTGTAGGAGTTCATCAATATACTTTGGTCCTAAACCATGTAATGATTTAAAAACTAGCAATAGTACTTTAAAATCAATTCTTTGGCCGACTGGAAGCCAATGTAAAGATGACACGTGAGGACACGTGCAGCAGCGTTCTGAATCAGCTGCAGCTTTCTGATGGATTTTTTTGTCAGCCCTGTGAATACACTATTGCAGTAGTTGAGTCTACTAAAGATAAAAGCATGGACAAGCTTTTCTAAGTCCTGTTCATTAGTTTTTTAATCCTCGATATGTTCATCAGGTGATAGTATGCAGACCTAATGACTGTTGTAATGTGGCTGTTGAAATTCAGGTCTGAGTTCATCACTACACCTAGATTTCTGGCTTTATTAGTGGTTTTGTAGTCTGCCGACTGAAGCTCTGCGATTACTTTTAATCGGTCCTTCTTTGCTCCAAAAACAATGATCTCAGTTTTTTGTTTGTTCAGTTGGAGAAAGTTCTGAGTCATCCAGTCAGTGATGTGCTCAATGCACTTGCTCAGTGTTCTAATCAGAGAATAGTCTCCTGGTGTGATTTTAAAATAAATCTGGGTGTCGTCTGCAATTTCAGCCAGAGGTAGCATATAAATATTAAAAAGCAAAGGTCCTAAGATGGAGCCTTGAGGAACCCCGCATGACATATTTGTCAAAGTTGATGTGTAGTTGCCTATTGAGACAACGTTTTTTCTGTCCTTTAAGTAGGTACTAAACCAATTTAGAGCTGTTCCTGAAACTCCCACCCAGTTTTCTAGACGGTCTAGCAATATGTTGTGGTCAACAGTGTCAAATGCAGCGCTGAGATCTAATAATACTAAAACTGATATTCTGCCACTGTCTGTGTTTAAATGAATGTCATTTAAGACCTTTACAAGTGCAGTTTCAGTGCTGTGGTTTGGTCGAAAGCCCGACTGAAATACATCAAAACCGTCATTTAAAAACATGAAATTACTCAACTGTTGAAAGACAACTTTTTCAATCAATTTGCTTAAAAAAGGAAGGTTTGATATTGGCCTGTAATTATTCATTACGGTTGTGTCCAAGTTATGCTTTTTTAGGAGCGGTTTAATTACTGCAGTTTTCAGGGCCTGCGGAAATACACCTGATTGAAGAGACTTGTTTACTATGTGTAGTATATCTGAGGCCATGCAGTGAAAAACAGTTTTGAAAAATCCTGTCGGAATAATATCGAGGCTACAGGAGGAGGATTTCAGATGTTGAATAATGTCTTCCAGGCCATTAGCATGTATCAGACGGAATTGTGTCATGATGTCTACAAGTCAAAAAATAATAATATGTCGTAAAACTGTGAAGTAACACTTTTTTTGTGTGAAACCGCTCAATGAACTACATCTCCCGTCTCGCACCACACACCAAGACGGCCGTCACGTTGGCACATTTCACTTCTTTCTTTCAGAATGAGGTGAAAAGTATTAAAAGAGGTGAAAATCACTACAAGTCTGGGCATGTTGAGAGCTGTACATACACAAAAGGGGAGTTAGTCGGTTCCGTAAGAGCCAGCATGCGGGACCAGGATTCTGGGATTTGTAGTCTTTCTAGTTGCGTATTTTTCATAGTCTTATATTTCAACAGTTTTACGACAAACTGTGACTTTTTTTGACATGGAAATTATTATTTAAGATTGACAAACATCATATGTGTAATTCGTGGCACAATTCAAACGGGATCGAAAGATAATCTTTCTCTCTCCATTGACTTCAATACAAACTTTTTCCAAAATAAGGTCCCATGAGTCCCACCGGAAGGGGAGGGACTTCGCCTCTCTATTATACATCCATGGTCAGCCTTCCCATCTCATGCACAAACTTATCTCGTGCCCTCATTGGTCATGTGCGCGTTCGTGTGTGTTGGAGGAGGGGGCAGATTTCTTTCGGCTGCGTAGTTTCAAATGCTAGCGTACTCGAGCTGGTTTCTCCATTCTTACCTTTAAGGATACGTTATATTTGTTTCATAATATCCGAGAGGGTAATAAAGAATGTTCTTAAAGTGTGTTAATGACCTCGATAATTGATGCCAAGAAATGTTCATTGGAAATTTGGAAATTATTCAAATCAGTTTAAGACATTTCCGATTCTGTTTAAGTAGGCCTTACATATGAGTGTATAAGGAATAAAACCCCATTTTGAAAGGACAAAACAACTCTCAATCGCACACATAAACAAACAAAAACATTATACCTCATGCTGTCTTGCGGTCGTCCTACATGAAGAATATACCAAACAAACACATCTGAAAAGTGAAGAACGACTAACTGAATAATGATAAAGACAACATTTTAAAAATCTGTAATTGTGTAGGGGCTCGACCCTCCTACCTGTTGCTAGTTCCTGTACCTGATATGACCTCGTGTGGGTGGAGTCCCGTGACCCCATCCAGAACAACCCCGCCCCCCCCTGAACACGAGTTTAATCAGCCCAAATTGGAAACATCTGACCGTCAGAGCAGCGTCAGCACGTGTTCACATTAGGATCCCGTCCACAATTACACCGTGAAATAACTCGAGTTGAGGCCGTTTTTCTGCTGGAGTTATGACAAGCATAGATTTGTCCACCAGATTTGCCGCCTTTACGAATATGCACTCCTATGAATCACGCGAACAAAGCTATGTAGACTGGCCATTTAGAGAGGATTGTCACTGCACTCCTGAAAAGGTAAGGAGGCCGCTGTGTCTCGAGGAATCGGAGCAGTTAATTATAGCATACATTCAGAAACAATTGATTCATAGTTAATTACTTTTTTTCTTAATTTTGTTTTAATAATATGGATCTGTAAAGTTACTGTACCTGACGCTTTCAAGTAAATGTAGTACTAGTGGAGTAAATGACACCATCATGACTTCCAAAATGCACCATGTGGAGAAATAAAAAGGTGGAAATTACAAAAAAAGTACCATAATATTGTACAGTGCTTACGTGCAATGCTTAAGTAAATGTACATAGTTTATTTCTGCTACTGGAGTGCACTTGGGTCAGACAGGGCCAACATAAGGTCAGACTAAGTTCATGTGGAATTTTCTTCTATTTCTACTCTGGATGTGTCAGATGGCTCTTAAGATCTTTGGAAACATTGATGTACATTAACCTCCACATGACTCGACTGATAAATTATTTTTGAAACGCCCAAACCTTGTTTACATTCTCAAGTTATGCAATTTCATACAACAGCTTTCATCTAAGGTTGTGACAACTTGTGATTTACAGTTAAGCAGGTGTCAGCTTCAGTTTCATTGCATCAGGTGTCGGGTGCACAGCCCCTTCCTTTTGCCCACCCTAGTCTTTTCAGGATGGATGGGCTGCTTACACCTCCCTTAAGACTCATGCTACCAGCTCTACCTAACCCTAACCCCGCAAGAGCCAAATCATCCGAACGTTTACTTCTCACTGACACTAATCCCCCTGCAGCCATGTAGTTCTTTTGTTCTTGCACATATCAACTTATATTTGTCATTGAGTTACTAGCTCATAAAACTCTTTATGTTGCAGGGTACACATTATGACATCTGTGACTGATTTGTTTGTCTTTGCAGATGGCCAAGGCTGGGTTTGTCCACTGCCCCAATGAGAATGAGCCTGATGTGGCGTGCTGTTTCTTCTGTCTGATCGAACTTGAGGGCTGGGAGCCAGATGATGATCCCTGGTAAGGAAAGCATTCCTATAAGATTACATTACATTACATGTAATTTGTTAGACGCTTTTATCCAAAGCGACTATCAGTACTGTGGACAATCCCCACAGGAGCAATTTGGGGTGAAGTGTCTTGCCCAGGGACACAACGACATGCTGACTGCAGTGGGACTCAAACTTGGTACCCCCTGATTCGAAGTCCAGCACTCTATCCACTGAGCCACAATGATGACCCTTTATCTTATATATCCTGGTGCTTTGAGTCACTGAAGATTATATTTTCTCCTCGGAATCACTGTGTTGCCGTCACAAGACACATTTTTATATAAAGAACATGGCCATAGGTGAATGACAAGAAAAGAGGCTGCCCAAAAACTTAGATTTAATTTCAACATGGGGCAAGACAATTCAAGCAGAGGAGATTTAGCTGTCCTTCCCCAGGCAATTTGGATATTCAAACACTTAATTTCCTGCATTCTGGTTAATTTAAATGCACCACATTATCATTGAAATGTCTTTTTATTGAAGGACAATAAACAAACTTCAGGTTGCAGATGACAAATATAATTAGGGTACTCGGCCATTCTCTATTTCTTTCAAACATGTATTCTCCTGTAGATAATCTTAATGTTATCCCTGCATGGGCAAACGTTTCTGCACAATCAAACATATTCCACATTTTTGTGTCATCTAAGATTACATTATATTATGACACATTTACTAGATGTTGTTGCTCAGTAGTGGCTGGTTATTGGTAGTGACCATAGATGGTAGGAACGTGTTAAAGCAAATACCCATGTGACCCTTCACCTAACTTCTTCCGTAACATTTTCTCTACCCAGGTCCGAACACTTTAAACGCTCTCCGAACTGTGGATTCTTATCCTCGAAAAAAGATTTCACTGAAATGACCGCGGCTGATTTCTTTCATATGGAAAGAGAGAGGCTTAAGGTCTTCCTTGTGAGTGTTCCTAAAATCTGTGTAGATTGTGTGCAGTGAAGTTTTGTTTGAATATTCACACAGTGGTGGTTTGACACTCTGCTTTTTTTTCCCCTAGAAAAAAATGTGTCACAAGAAGATGGCATATTTGCGGGAGGACATAGACCGTACCCTTGGGAGCCTTATATCTCAGTTGGACACTTAACTGATTGAAATCAAACTTCCTGTCTTTGTTTTGTGATTTTATTGCAACACTAATCTTAAGGGTGTAGCATAAGCTTTTATAGCAGTATAACATATCAATAAAGTTGTTCAAAATATTACTCTTCAATTGTAGTACTGTATTCTACCACAAGATGGTGCTTTAGCTCTAAACCTGCCGTTTTCTTTAAGTCACAGACACACTTTCTGGAGTTCCCAATCTCAAAACCTTCACAAAGGAAATCTGAAATGAAAGCGCACATTGACCAGGATTACAATGTGGGCTATATTCCCTCTTTTCAACAAAATACTTACCATTTTCCTGAACGTGCCACCATCTCTACCACCCCTTTTCAAACCTTGACCCTGGACAGATGGCCTGAAGCCCCTCCCTTTCAATACCAACTGTTGCCCCACTAACATCTGTTACATATAGGGGACAGTGTGCACTGAGCGGGCTCGCCAGGACACTTGCCTAACCCTGTGAGAAGGACTGAGATTTTAAAAAACCCTTAAGGGTGCTGCTGCTGACAATGGAAAAAGGTGCTCATGCCCTAAACACTTGAAGAAAGCTCCTTGCACTGTATTGCTTCACTGCTCTTATTTTGCTTTTCAAGAACAAAAGTCTATCATGAATATTATTTGCCAAAGTTGGTGAAAATTCTTGATAATTTTTTATGCAGACATGGAAGGTGTTTGGCTCCATTTTGAGTCTCTCCCTGAGTGGTGGTATAGGCTTGGCTGGATGGAGTGCAGGATTAAAAGATGCTATCCCTCCTCCAACCTTCCACTGTTCTGGATTAATGTCTAATGTAACACTCTGGCTACTGAGCCCAGATCAGCTGCTTAATTCTCCTTTTATCCGCTTGCTGCAGCACAAATTGAAGTGAGACTATTTTTAGCCAAATAAGTAAAATACCCTTAGGTGATGTAACATTTCTAATGAAACTGTTATTATTCAACTTTTCAGGGAGTGTGTTTTATATTCCCAAGTCTATGCTGTTGTGAGATATTTCCTCAGTCATTCACATGTTGCAGTCATTTCCAATATCATTTATTTAAAATGCATTTAGCTCTACCAGAATACAATTTCAAAAAGTTAACTGATGAGATGTTGGTTTGACATTCAGTTAGGCAAGTGATGTGATGTTTGCATAAGTGTGAAGATTATAAGGAGTGTTTACAGTAATTGCTAATGTAACTCCAATCAGGGTTTATATACATCCTATGTCAATCCACTTATTTATCTGTGCTCCAGAAAATGAACAAAGAGATCAGCATGGCATGACTTCTATCCCTCAGCGGCACAGATGTGATATGTTGGCTTATCTGTGGGAATGGTGCAACACTGTTGATTTGATTGGATCATAACTAAGGTGGGAGCTTGGCTTCATATGTTTTCCCTTACCCCAGTTTTATTTAAGCAGTTTTAAGTATAAACCAATCAAAATGTATTTAAAATTAGTCATTCACTTAATAGGAATCAGCATTGCATTACTGCACATGGATTTGGTTGTTTTCTGATTTAATTAATATACTGTGACCAAGGGTTCTGTTTTCTAATTAATGAGTTTCTGCTAAACAAACTGAACAGTGAATGTAGCAGATGGACAAACGGACAGATGTTACCAACAGAAAGTTTACAACCTGAGCTTTCCATCAGGCCCCATCTGTTGCTCCTGCGCCTGGTTCCTCCCACCACCCTCCTCCAATGCTTCCCCTCATCAGCATCTATCACCAAACCCTCTCCCCTGATGCGATATACACTGCACTGCCTTAATGAAGGACATCAGCATTTAGCCTCTCGCCTGACCTGCTTCACCCTTAATAAACAGTGCTTAACGGCAAATCACGTCTGAGTGCCAAGAAATTAAACATTTGTCTTGCTGTAAATGCGTTTATGTTTAGGTATAGCTTGTTGCTCTCTGAAAAATACTTGAGAAAACACAATGCGGGATAAAAGATTATATTGGCTGGCACGTAGCTTACAGACAAGCCTAGACTTCACAGTAATCCTGAACCAAAGCTTTGTGAAGGTTTCTAGATCTTTCTGAATTTACTGACAGATTATAGCAAAGCAAAGGGACTTTCGAAGTTACTTGTCCCTGCATTATAATTAGGTGTCCCCTTTTCAGTGTTTCCTTTCCCTCCTCCACCTCTAATGTTCTCCCACGTCTCTGGCAGTATTGCATGCTGGCTGCTTGCTCTTAGACACCACGGCCCTCCTGCCTTGGCTGTTTTTTGTGCCCTGTTCGAAAGGGACCTCCATCTGTCCCTCCACTCAGCCCATTGTGGTGTCCCAAAGCCCAGCAACTTCCACAATGCAGTGGGCGTGCAGTAGGGGGGGGAGGGGGGGGCAGGGTAAACACGACAGCATCCAGATCCCATTAGAAGCTCTTTAACTCCTACACCCTAATACTCTCAGAGAACTCTGGGAGGAGAGGGACCACCCCCTGTCCTCATGCACACAATGTCACCTTTTACACCCATTCTCATAGGTAATGAGCCTGTGAGCTGCCCTCTTTCTCCCTTCTCATGTACTTTTTTTTCCTGGAACGTTAGAACAAACTGTCACGTAATAAATTGTCTTAAGCATTATTGCTCTCAGTAGACACAAAGTTGGGTGTACTTTCCTTGCTTTGTTGAACTAGAACTGTTGATGTACAAACCATCTTTGGACATTTATTACTTAAAGTTGGATTTAGGAGATTAATTGCATATATTCTGGTATTGCCCATACTGCAGCTACTTGCCACTCAAATGTATCCTAAATAACTTTTAATTGAAGACCCCCCTCCCTGAAATTGATGGACAAAAACCATATATAGATACAATACTTTTACTGATTGGAGCATGACACAAACTCAATGGACTCTGACAATAAAACAGTCTTTACAATGGAATACATGACAGAAAAACTTCCCTGTCTAAATACAAGACTGAGAAAGGTGTACTTGGAAAATTTAAATTAAGATGTAAATAAATACAAATATCTGAAACGTATCTAAATATCAGTCTGGGCCCATATTTGCAAGCTTTAGATGGCTTAACACAATTTTCTTAGCTTCAAATTTTACTTTAGTTGAACTGTTTTGGAATAATCTAAAACTGAGCTAAACAGTCTGATGGTTGATAGATGGAACCAGATTCTGTATACATTTTATTCATTTATATTTAATTGCCTCCACCATGTTGACCATGGCCAACACCATCCCTCCATCTTCTAATAACGCAAGCCGTGCCATCTTCCATTGTTTACTTCTGTCGTTTCCCACATCTCTTTCTCCATCCATCTCCTCAGTCTTTCTTCTACCAGCTGCTCCTGTAAGTCTAGGGCGTCTCCGTTTCGGGCTGCTCCACCTCTCAACCTGGGCACTCATATCCCCATGCTCCCCACAGAGGCGTGTGTGTCTCTATGTGTGCATGTGCACCGTGGCTCAAGGGGAGGGGGGGATCACTGTGTCTGCCCCAGCTTAAAGGCAGTGGGATTACCGGCACACAGACACTGATTAAAGCCTTCCAGCCTCCTATGGCCCCATTAATACAATCTTAATCACAATGCTTTATCCCTCCATCTAGCTCCTATGGATCAGGACCTTTTCATTTTAGTGGGAGTCACTCTTGTTTGGCCAGTGGATTAAGTGTGCTGCACACAGAAACTCAAATTTGAGCACGAGAGGAAACAAGAGCAAGCTTCACTCCTCACTTCAAGAACTTATCTGTTGTTATTTTGTCTTTTTTTCTCGGTGAACCAAACTTCCTCTGCCAAAACAGTGAAACATAATTTCATGATGCCAAACGGGTTCATGCTTTTAGCTTATTCACAATAATGCAAATAAACATTAATAAAAAAAAACATGACCAAAAAAGTTTAGGAAATCAAGAGTTGATCACTAATCATTAATTCTCTGGGCTGATGTCGGACATGACCTCACTCCCCCGGGGGTCTAGCCACAGGTCGTGCTCTGCTGCCTGCGGTCTCGGCCAAGATGGTATTACAGAGCATGTGTTCCCTTCCCATTAAGAGACCTCCATGTCCTTACCATAGATGAGAGCCACTTGATACGCAAACAGCATTTTTAAAATCATTTCGACATACATTGTGTTTAGTGCACCAGTAGAATACAAATTAAAAAACAAATTAAACCTAAAAAGTATTTCAAGCTAACAAAATGCAAATATTTCCTCCAAATTATGATATGATTATTAATATTTCTTCCAAAATTGTCCCACACTGCCTCTTCATCAGCATGCCCCAATCTCCAGAGACTGTCCTGTATCTCTGGGTTTTGTAATCTTGTATCCAAAGTTAATTTACGTGGCTTATTTCTATATCCACCCACTCATGTATTTGGACTCAGGAGGATAATCCACATATACCCTGCCCCCACCATGTTTGTGGAAACAAAACAGCAAAGACACAAAGAGGGTGTACGCCAGCTAACTCTGCCAGTACTTTCTCACAGGCCAAATGTCTGCCTGTGTGTAAAGCTATGTGTCATTCCTATGCCAAGGCTGACACACGGGAGCAGAGAGGACTCACTTGTGAATGGGGAGCAAGGACCTTGGTCACCTCTTCTGCCCGCTCCTTCTCTGTCCTCTTCTCCTTTAACCTTCCAACACACGAATTCCCCTTTCCCTCTCTCATCCCTCTCTTACATGCTCTCACTCTCATCTCTGTTGCTTTCCAAATTGGCCCAGCTGTCCATCAGCCCCCCCCGCAGTTCCCCCAGCTGTCTGCCCTCCCCAAACGAGAAGCCCCACAACAATACGGGTCACAGGTCAAGAGAAAGAACAGGCTGCGTTCACAATGGACCAGTGGCGCCCAGTAAAACAATCGCTCCCTTTTTCTCCTCCAGCCTTTCTCCCCTGTTGCCAGGACTGGAAAAGACAAACGTTTTGGAGAGGTAGCTGAAGAGGGGGGAAGTCCTCTTGGACAACAGCCTTAGAGGCACCTTCCCCTTCTTACAATTGCCTCACCGACCACAATGATAAACACACTTGAACACACCTCTTGCTCTCACCTCTTCATCTTTACACTCAGCCACCCCGCTCTTTGTCTGTTTCAAGTGCAATCATTTCCCTCAACGCAGTCATTAAAATCAAATTGAGACTTTTGTCATTAGTTGAGGGATATAAATGTGTGAAGGAAACTTGCCAGTTTAAGCTCATCTGGAAATAATAAAACTAAAGTTTATTTTCTCGTCATTCACCTTTAGAATACATTTCTTAAATGTACTGAGGACAGAGGTAAGATCATTTCCCCAAAAATATTTAAATATGTTCAACATCTATCGTCTTGTCTCTTAACAGAAATCTGGTTCTTTTCTCTCTGTGTTAATGTGGATGAATTCTTTTAAAAGGAGAATGTGCCCTACAGTGTTTTGGCATGAGCTAGATGTGAAAATGGGACATGTGGGAGAGAACAGCAGCAGAGATTTAGAAAAGCCTCTGACACATTCACCTGTTCCCCAGAGCTGTTTTCCCATGGCCCACAACAGCCTCCCGTCTGACCTGATATAAACCCAGAGCAAGCCTCTGAATGACATAGAAACACACACACACACACGCACGCACGCACACGCACGCACGCACTGGAAATAAATTCTCCTTTATTTTAGCTTGCAACTTAATCTTAATTTCTGTACAATAGAGTCAAATGTAATTATTGTGAAATTAAACTGAGCCATTTAACATTTGTTTTTTTGGTCTCAGAATCCATTTCCTGTTTTTGTTTGTTTGTGTATTGGAGTTGTTTCATATAACATATGCCTTCATATCAAAGTAGGCTACTGAGAGATGTTAAAATAAGAAAGCTGCACAACATAATTGCCAAATTGCATTAATTCAGTTAACATCTGAAACAAAGTGTGTGCTAATATATCTTTCAGAGAGTAAGTGTTATAGAAGAGCTGGCAATGATTTAATTAGGATTTTATTTTTGTCTAAATGACAAAAAAAGTGATTTCACAAACCTTATCACTTAGAAAGTGCTATTTGAAAAGCAAAAAGGAATCTATTTGAATGTGTTTTTGAAATTGTATGTATTGATGCTGGATATAGTGTAGGTATACTTTATACAGGGAGGCATTAACTTTGTTTAACTGAAACTCAAGTATAGGATGAAAGTGTAACAGAAAACACATGGCAAATATTGTTACTAGGAAATAGCATATAATATAAGAATATTTATTCAATTAAGTGCGAAACAGCAAAATATTTACAGTACAGTATGACACAATGTGACACCAAATTCAAAGTACCTGAAAGACCTCAAATAAATAAATAAAATGCAGTACAGATGCTAGTGACTGACAACAAAACCAAGAAGACATCGAAACAAAAACTGCTGCGAAAAATATAAAAAAGGACAAGACGTAATCAAAATAAATATTAAATACAGATATAAATAAATGCATTGCTTTTTGTGGCATAGGGGACATTGGTTTTAGGCCTCAGTGCACAATTTAGGCTTGCCCTGGATGAACTTTTGTTTAATTTATCTTAATACACAGACACTCAGATTTCCTATCAAAGTTCGTTTGTTCATGTGTTTTCTCCAATCTCTACACTTGGAACATCTGTGTGAATCTTTAGTGTGGATATCTGTTTGGTACATTCATCTTTAGTCACTATGTCACAACTGAGGGGGAACATTCTTTAAAAATAATTATAATCTAAATCACATAACAAAAAAATAATAAATAAAATATTTCAAAGTAATGGGTGCGTGTTTGTATCAGGTAGATTGAGTTGAGGTGGTAAGTCTCTCTGAGTATTCAGTGCTCTCCCAGAGGTACTAGACAACATAATGCAAACACATTTCTCTATACAGTCAGTACCACGGCCATTTGTACAGCAGTTCATTCAAGAGCAAAGCCCCTTCAGGCCAGTTTCAAAGAGTCAAACACTGCTCCTCTTCATATTTCAGATGCTGCCCATCTGTGAGGCGACAAGGTGAGAGGGATTGAAGGAGTCAAAGGCCACATCGAGGGGCATCTCATAGCGTGAAGATTGAAAGAGTGGATGGCCCTGAGGCCCCCCTGGCATGCCGCCAGTGTGGTAATGGTGCGACGAGAGGTAGTGGGGATTGTGGCCGGAGTGGGGTGTGTAGTTCCTCTCGGGCTCACGTGGAGAGGGCTCCTGCTTCAGGGCATAGTTGCCACTGATGCTCAGGGGGGGAGTAAGGGGCCCATCGTATGGTGGGGTGCCGCTGCTGCACTCGTTAGGGGATGGGTTGTCGTATACAGGCCCCTTGAATCCCTTCATATGGAGTAGGTGGGATGCCTCCAGGGAGCCATAGGGGGGGCTGGGAAGGCCTGGAGACGGGAAGCTGAGAGGATGGCCTGCCTGACCCCCCACACCACCCATCCCCGGGCCTCCACACTTATCGTCCATCTTGTTGTTTATCGGACTGGATCCCAGCTGCATGCAGCCGGCCACGAGGTTACTGGTGGGCTGAGACAGACCTTTGCACAGAATCTCCACAAAGCCATGGCTGTCAGGGGACTGGCCGTTCTCGAGCGACTCCGACAGGGCCCAGATGTAGTTGTGTGCCAGCCGTAGGGTTTCAATCTTTGACAGCTTCTGTGTCTTGGAGTAGCAGGGCATCACTCTGCGCAGACTTTCCAGGGCGTCGTTCAGCCCATGCATACGGGAACGTTCTCTCGCATTGGCTTTAGTTCGCCGGTTACGAAACCTCTCCTGTCTTGCTTTGGTCATCTTCTTCTTCTTAGGGCCTCTCCTTTTGGGAGCATGTTCTCCATTTGGTCCAATCTCCTGATCATCATCATCATCATCATTGTTATCCTCCTCATCTTCCTCCATATCCTCACTGCCCATGTCTGTGCAGGAGTGAATTTGGCCCCCTACACTCATGCCATGGCTCTCCTCTCCATCCTGAGAGCTGCATTCATCTTCCTCCAGCCAGCCCAGGGAGCTCACCAGCTCACTCACATCTCCGCTCTTTCCAAATGGTTTGGTCATCATTTTTATCTGAAAAAAAACAATTCAGTCAATATCATGAATGAGTGTACAGAATGAGTGCTCTCATTTCAGCACTGAAGTGTGGACAGCTCACTCTAAAGAGAGGGTGGCTCAGTCTAACATGTGATTATTTAGAATGAAGTACTGGGTGTTTTTCCAATAAAGGAAATATATGGCTGTTTTAAGAATGAATGATCCCCTGCTGTTATACTGGAGTCGCTACAGAGACGCTATCAATCTAGGACACGACAGGATTTACTCAGCATAAAGCTCAAAGATTAAATAGGCAACATAAAACTGAACACACATGTGGACAAGCTGCCCTGATTTTAGAGCTGTTTTTTTCATTACATGTTTAAATCTTGCAGAATAAATTAATATAGCCCAAATGTTACAATCGATTAATTAAAACAATATTTTTTTTTAAAGTCCAGACAAAGAATTTGCTATTGTTTGGAGAAAAAATATATCTGCCCCAGTTAATTATTGTGCACTAATGCATATGTAAATGGGGCGGATTATTGTAATATATGAATTCAGAACTTTAGACACACAACTGTGTCCGGACTAATGCCACAGGACGTAACTGCAAGAGCACTGAAAATAAAATATTTTAATTTGTTGACATCAACAGACATTTTGCTGAATTTAGTAGTCTAAAATGTGATTCCTTTTTAAAATGTAATTTGGATCTGTTACTTTATACAGCTGGGCTGATAATGAACAAACGTGTAAACTCACCTGTGTGGATTTCGGCAATTGCTCGCTCTGTGTAAAGTAAGAGTAAGACCAGGTCTATAAAACTGGGAATTAGTCCAGAGTTGCTCGTGTCCTGAACTCTTCTGCTTCCTCAGATAATCATGAGTGCGCTTGGAACATGCTTCTCCAAATGGCACGATCGGGTTGATATCGCTGATTTAGCCGGGTAAGCCCCTCCCTCAGGGGCCCCACCCACCATCAATTTATCCAAACGCGCGTGGCGGGCTCGTGGCCAGAAGTTCCACCCAGAAACATAATGCTGGACAGAGAGACCGGGCGCGGCCTATTGCACGTGTAGACAATGTTTATTTGTAAATCAAACGCTCCTAAAACTCTGGGAGGTCTTGGGTCACTTCATCCAATGCGCAAATTTAGGAGCACACTCCCAAACATTCCCATCATAAATGATGTTGGCAGCACAGATTGATATAGCCTAGGCTATGTTTTATTGGAGCACATTAGAACATACTTAAATCCGCGGCACTTGTTTTTTCCCCTTCCCTCCACTAATAAGCAGCAAAACATACTCAGGCTACACCTGCATGTCTCTCGGTCTGAGATATTCTCACCGTGCAATATTTTCGTCATCTTTTTGTAAAAGGCTATTTGGATGATAATGAATATTAGTTTTTTTTTCACGATTTTAATAGCTGAAACGAGGGGCTATATTTTAGTATTCCCCTACTTGTCATTATTTTATAAACCCATATTTCTCTGTTATTAACCTCTACATAACACCGATTCCGAAGGGTCACTTTAATACATCGTCCCAATCTAGCATCATGTTGGCAGACAAAGTCCTGCATAATGTTCCTTTTTAAAAGCGACATTATACATCTTCACACTTGAAAATATGGGACTAACCAAAACATTCCATTATTCTATTTTAATTCCATGTGTTAACCATCTTAATCGATTGTCTATCTCTTCATTAGTCGGTTGGATTAGGAATTTTCCACTTAATTAAACACATTGCAAGCCTGGTCTTCGCTGAGTAAAGAGACGCTCTTCCATGTGTGCGCATTTAAGTGATTGTGACAGTTTAGTGTGCAGAGAGCAGGTGTGTGCGTTGTTCATCCAGTCATTCAATTGTTTTCTTCCATTTTTAGCGTCATATTCTGCCCCCAAGGGCTATCTGATTGTTGAATCGATTGGCGCAATAATGAACGGACTGGTACTTAATGGTAGGCTTTAAAGCTGACCCAGGCAGGGGGATTTGTAAACGTACCATCATACCGTATGTTTGATAACGGCCAATCTCGTAGATGAATTGCCAACACAGCATTGCTGGCTAATTGTTTTTCCAAATTGTTTTTCTAAATGATAAAAGTCCCACTGACACTTACTTTTATACTTAACTTTTCAACCCTTAGTGCAGGTCTTGAAACGGCGTTTTTTGTTCAAACACTCATAATATCTCAACATTGAGCATTTTCCCAAGTGTTGACAACAAATACCAAGGCTTTATAAACGCCCGCGAGTCCTCGTGCGTGGCGGGCCGCCGCGCAATGGGGGTCTTTTGTCATCAGTGGCCATTGACAGCCGGGGTCTCGCGAGCCGCACGTGTCCCTGCATTGATCCCATTGTGCGCGCGATTGCGCACAGCTGTGTTGGAGACTGAACTTTGCCAACTACACTGTAGGCTCTCCTTGTTTCTGAGGGTGCGATGTATTTCCACATCTCAGAAAATAAAGATATGGTCACGTGACTAATCTGCAACATCGCGTAAAAACAGGCACTTACCCAACGATTTATTGAACAGATGGCTGGATATAGGAAGCGTTGGGGGGTGGGGGCATCTGTTGCTTGGATGCTCACGCGTCACCGCTTGCCCAAGATTATGTCTCGTGCTGAAACAGCATTTATTCACCCCACTAACGGCCCTAATAACTGCTGGTCAGTGCACTGGCCATAAAGGCATGTGGACAGAGAGAAAGAAGCGCCCATGTCCTTTGTGTGTGTGTGTGTGTGTGTGTGTGTGTGTGTGTGTGTGTGTGTGTGTGTGTGTGTGTGTGTGTGTGTGTGTGTGTGTTGCACCACGTGATGTGTACGGCAACAACTCTAGACTAATGTGATGTGCCCAAAGGTCCCCAGGTACATACACCCCTACCCCCGAACACATACTCAGCCCTTCTGTCCCATGAGTGTGAGCATGGCCTCCACCACACCTGCAGCCTGCATGGGGAATTGAAGCCTCAGTCTCCCACAATCCCCATCGGTTTCCCAAATGACTGACTGACTAACAGAGAGGGAATTGTGTTCTGCTCTCATTTAAGCAGTAACATAGATAGGCAGCCTTCTGGAAGAGGTCATGGTCGACACATCTGATCTAAAACAACTTTTGATGAGTTTGCATGATTTTTAACCTCGATTTTCTAACCAATTCAAATTTTGAGTAGAGTTATGCAGTCTATTACTGCTTAAAAAGATCCTAAGAAAGTGTGAGAGAACATTAAGATCATTTTGCAGGTGTTATAAGTTTGTGAGGCTGGTAAAACTGGCTAAGATGCATTCATATTTGGACATGAGCTGGCCAAAAAATGTTTATAATAAGATTTGACCTAAAGTACCAGTCTTAGCTATATTTAAGGGCTGTTGTTGCTATTAAAGGGGTAACCCCTGTCCTTACAAAAAAAAACCCTGCCACAAGTGAGTTGTCTCGCTCTGGTCCCCTGGGACTCGGAGTGGAATGGGAGGGAATCGTGCGCTGTGCTGACAGATGGGTCCTTGTTCCTGTCTTTTTCTTCATCTCTATCTCCCTCTCCCTCTTTTGCTAAAACACAGACACACTCACACACCAAGACTGCACGAATACAATAGGAATTAAAGCTCTACACACATGCTCCCTGCACAGCTTCTGAAAGCTGAGCCCCTTGTAGTGATCATAAAAGATGGAGCGAGCGTGGATTTGCAAGAGGGCTTGGCGTTGTAAGGGGTGGGGGTGATGTGGCACAGGATGGTGAGACTCGGAGATGAAATTGTTTTGTTGTTAGACCAAATTTTAAGGTTTGGTTGTGGCAACCTGTATTCATTTTTAAACTTTTAAAGGTTGTATCTGTTTCATTGTTTTTTGAGAAAAGTTTCTTGAGCAAGTTAATCATGTGCGTATGCACCAGTTATTTACATTTTATAGCTTAGCTTTACAGTAATTGTGTGTGTTTGGGTGTTAAGAAGTCCCTGGGCTCAGTTCTCCCCGTTTGCTGCTCACTGAGGCTGAATATGCTACATAGCAGACTTTCCTGAGGGAGATTCTGACAGGCCTGCTGACTATGCTGCACACAGGGGAACATCAGTGGTCTAACACACACAAATGCACACACAGTTGTGGACTTTTAACCTCAGTTAAATACCTGGATCGTTGTTTATTCTTTAAATATGTGGTCATTTTTATTGTAAAACATTTAAACAAGATTTTGAAGATAGGGGAGATAAGTCTAAATTGTGTTATTTTTTTGTCATTTCAAAAACTAAATATACTTTTTAAAACTCAAGCCATTTGTTCTATTTTATGCATACATGTGTTTTTTCTCTCAAACTATATGATATTCATAATGATAACAACCTAAATTTAAGTTTGCAATTGCAGGTTTTCACTGTGCCATCTGCATGCCATCGTACAATATATCAAGACACACAATGGAGACTCAAAAAAGGCATATGTGTGAACTGATGCCCGACTGACAAGAGGAAAGCTGTCTATATCTCCTTGTGTAGGAATATGATCCCATGTTTTGACTTCACACAAGCATACATTTCTGGGCAAATGGCTAGCATATCCAGAAAACTAAGATGTCAACAAATTATAGTTATCTGGTTCAAAAGGTTTGCTTTGATAAGATCTAGCAGAATCTCACCCAGACAATATGAGCAGATTGTGTGCATCTTATTCCTCTTCCTTTAGGCTAATGGACTTGGAAAACATTCCAATCGGGCAGAAATTTAGCTACAGAATGGGAATCAGGCCTGAGGGCAATTCTCACTAAGTGGGGAGAGAGCCATTAAACAAAGGTGCCTGTGGTTTCATATTCAGGATACTTTACAACCTCCGTCCCAGGACATCAACAGTGTTTTTGGGTGTGCTGTTAGAGGGGGCAAAAGAGGGGGAGGAGGATCCATCTGCCATGCTGCCGGTCCTCAGGGAGACGGGCATATCCCAGGGGTGTTTAGGAGAGAGAGGGGCTGAAAGGATTACACCCAACCACTAATCAAGGACGGTAATCTGTGGGCCCCCGTGTAAAATCCCCTACGATCCAAACAACAATTTGTGACAGAAAAAACCTCAGTGTACAGGGACATCTAACTGATGTTGAACAACCTGACAAATCCAAGAATAAATCCAGGTGATTTTTAATTGGGAGAATCAACTCTGGAGGTGTGATTGGCAAAGAGCCATGGTGTCTCTGTGATCAGGTGTGAGTGTCCCACAAGTGGCCTATCTGATTCCCAGTGTGACCATTATGCTAATACAGCAACTAGACAAGCCTGCAACATAAATTAGACTAACGGATAAAAGCACTTTTCAAATTGCAAAAGGTTTTTCTTGCATATTAGTGTATACGTCCAAAATAACAAAATATAAGTAAATATTTTTATTAGTGTTTCCCATGATTTATCTTTTTTTGTTAGACCTTATTTTCTGTACATAAATGCAGAAATTGCTTTCATTTGTCTGTAGTCTTGACAATGAACTTTTAACAGCTGATCCACGCTGACACAAGGTGAGCTCTGCAGAGCAGTTTTTCCTGAGCTTTCCTAAGACTTTGTCACAGCAGGAAGTCACACAAGGTGGGGCGGCTAAGCTGCTGTCCCGGCAGGTCTCTCCATCCGGTAAAGGAATAGCAGGGAATCAAGTTGCCACTAGTTTCATGGTCCCTTGTCAGTATGGTTTTGATGTATGGGTGCTGGTTGGGGTCTGGATCTTGTAGTGGTGGGTTTAAAGCTCCACAGGACTATAGAAGATGCTGCCTAATGATGGTGCCAGTCCTCGAGGG